TCTGACAGCGGAGACTGGGGGGGCGATTTGCGAATTTTAGGGCTGGAGGTGGGGATTACAGTTGTAATGGACCTGATGATCCGAAAGCCGGACATGTCGGCCGAAAGAGCCAATGGATATTTTGTGAGAGAAGTTTAGTCTTCCATATATTATTAGTATAGTCTTAAAGGGTGCATGGTAGACTGGAAGAGATAGGCGATGAAGTCTGCTCCAGTGATGTCGAAACAGCGTATAGTCCCATCATGTTCCAGCCCGCAAATCTTCATAGCTTGGTCATGATAGAAACAAATAAACTACAATTGAGGCATCATGACTTCAAAATATTAGTGGAGCCAGCATAAACGTCACTAAAACAATTCACGTTGCGGGCGTCAAAGTGCGGTACGGCCCGGCCGAGGCTCATGCAACGCGTGTTTATTCTCAACGGTCGAGATTAACTCGTATCCAAAACCATTCGGACCTTTTATCTGGGGGATCTACCGCAGGGATTGGCGTCGTTTACAAGGCTGAAACAATCTGCACTTTGATGCTGATGTAGGTAGGACGGTGCCTGGTGTTGCTCTTCACATGTTTCACTGGGTCGAAAATCATGTGGCTTTTGTAGAAACGGTTTTATTGTGTGGCTCTTAGGTTGTTGAATCAGAGGCCTAAAACGGAACTTCTTGTGGTTAAGTTTGTATAACGTGTTGTGGCTCTATACTTTATCACTGACAATGTTGTATGGTCTGAAAGCATCAGCCTCCATTCTGATTCAACGACACTACATATTTCTCTCTGAATCACTGATAATGTTACAGATCCTTCTTCTCATAATGGCCTGTCTTCACATTGCTTATCACTTGCTCCGAGCATGGCCTATACTATCACGGCCAAGAGAACCGGTCTCAACAGACTGACCAAACCTGACTTGAACACTCCTCTTCACTCACGATACTACTCTCTCAGAACCATATAATAAGGGCCCCCTGCCTCTACTCTCTATACCACCGCATTTCTGCCAATCTTGCCTCTCACCATGGACGGCTCGCTGGAACCAGCGCCTATTCAGGCCACGCCTGACAACCCCAGGAAGCGCGCCGCCAGCAGATCTCCCTCACTCTCCCCATCTGAAGCCCTGCAGTTGAAGAAAGCATGTTATGAAATTGCTCATCAGAACTTCAACGACCATGTGAGAATCCCATCAAGTCGTACAAGGCCTCATCATCGACAAAACACCATGATGGCCTCGTCTCCATACGCTGACTGTCTTAATAGGTCATGTTTCAACCAGCTCCTATTCGGAGTAATCGTCCATCCGCTGCTATTCTGGATTATATAAAGGAGACGCTACCTAGTCCTTCATGCTTGAAAAAAATCGGTAACTGGCTCGAAGATATTTATCCTCAAGATCTACGCAAGATACCACGTTCAGATTGCTCCATTCTAGACAGAGACTTGGCACCCATACCAGAAAGATCTCATTCTGCTCCAACCATTATGGTAGGTAGAAAGAACGTCACCGGGAAAGCCGTCTCCTTTGACCTGGCGTTTTCTCCCAAGTCATCCCTTAAGCGCTCGTCTCCCGGATTCACTCCTCAAGAAGGGGGTCCGTCTATTGACCCAACACCGACCATTTACCCATCTGGCACCGGTACAGCTAATCGATCTAACGGGCCTCTCGTAGAGAGTGCCCTCTACCGGGATTGTAACCTTGCACTCAACAACATCCTCTTACTCGACTCCCGAACTGAACTCCCGCCTCATATCTCCGCACTTGTCGAATCCCTCAAGCAAGGTCGATCATCCCCTGAGCCTATCCCCCAGGATAACGATAATCTCTACGCCCTGGAAGCAGGTGCCAGCGAACCAAAGGTTGAAGAATTCGTTCGAAACAACATCATCCCCCGGAGTTCCAGCACAAACAAGATCCAGCGCAGCGATCGTGTCTTTGTAGGCAGGGCCGTTATTCCTATCACAAATCCCTACGCGAGAATCAGTGTTCCTGTTCCCGATCTCCTCTACGGGTACCGCTTCTCTGCTTTCGAGCACGACCAGCAAATGCAGATCGCAACATGTGGTAACTTTGCGTTCGCAAACAGCGAGGGCCTCACGTTTCCATTCTTTACAGTCGAGTTCAAAGGCGATGGACCATCCAGCAAAGGTAGTCTCTAGGTGGCGACGAACCAATGCCTGGGAGCGTCCACGGCCTGCATCCACATCAGTGAGAGATTGAAAGAACGGCTTGAAAGATGTACGAATATACCCAGCAAACCCCTTGAGAGCATGGGTTTCAGTGTTGCCATGAATGGAACTGAAGCTCGATTGCATATCTCTTGGAAGGATGGAGATTTCATATATATGCAAAAGATCAAGACTTTTATCCTCCAGCGACCTGACGAGTTCCTCGAGTTTCGGAGGTTTGTCCGGAATATCATCGATTGGGGACGGGATGAACGCTTGGAGTGCATAAAGGCCGGTCTCGATGTTTTGGTTGAGGAGAGCGAGACTGCGCCCCTGAAGAATAAGCTTTCTCGTCCGAGATTCAAGTCTGGAGGTAGCTCAATCCGATCGAAACCATACTAGAGAACCTTGACGGAAGTTCAGTTCTGTATGTATGCGATTGGCGGGAGCTATGGTTCGGGGGTTTGGAATCTCCTATGGTCCAGAAGGATCCTGATCTCTGATGACGGTGAAGAGCCGTCGTGACCTGCAAGTCATGGATATGAGATTGAAATATAGGGAGACCGCGGAACTTTGTGTTATCTGGTGGTTTTTCGGGTCATTCCGGGGCTTCTATTTGGTATATGGGAGTTTCAAACATGTTATAAGGGCGTTCGTTATGAATAGGACAATAGGGCTCATGGTCTAAGGAGTGTGTTTGGTCCAGATAGCCGGACAATAGCTGCAGCGACATTTCTCAGGATTTTGCCAGAAGTCCATTCTTTCTAGAAATACATACGATCTAACATTTGGATGCATTACGTGTCACTCTATGTTTCTGGCTTCATCTACTATCTTGGAGTGGATGCGACGACATTGAAGGCATAAGAATCACATTGTAAAACAAATGGCTTGGCTTTCTATTAATCTATCATCGATTCTCCTCTCTAGTCATCGAATCTCCTTATCAACACCTCCCCATATATTACCACGACGTATGTCCTCCATCGATCACGAGGTTGTTCCCGGTCATGTAGCTACTCGCATTGCTCAGCAAGAACAACGCCGCACCCTTAAACTCCTGCGTCTCCGCCAATCTCCCCATGATAATCTCCCTCTCCCACTCCTCTCGCATACCAGGCACTTCCTCAAAGTTGCTCTGCACCATGGGCGTCATGATATGTCCAGGGCTAATACAATTAACACGAATACCACCTGTTCCGTCTTTCTGAATAGGACTCCATTCCATAGCAAGATTGCGCGCAAGTTGGATAACAGCTGCTTTGCTGGAATTATAAACTGGTGACACAAGACCGCGGTTTGCTTTGAGGCCGGAAATACTGGCGATGAGACAGATGCTTCCGCGTTTCTTGTACTTCATCATTTGCTTGGCGGCTGATTTGGCGGTCATGAAAACGCCTGTGTAGTTGATGGAGAGCATGTGTTTAACTTCATCTGCGCTGTATTCCACTGTGGGCGAAATGTGCTGGACGCCTGCTGCGGCTATCACGCCGTCGAGGCCTTGGTTCTCATCTGCGATGGCGGTGATGAGTTTATCGAGACCTTCGGCGTCTGATACGTCTTGTTTGCGGTAGTGTAGAGATCCGCCCCATTCTGGGACGACGCGTGCTTGAGCTTCATGCCATCCTTGATCAGGCTGATCAGCACGATCCAAGCAATACACTGCATTTTAATTAGTGGTTATTCAGGTCAATTGTGTGGTTGACATACCTTTTCCACCAGCTTCGACAAGACTCTCAGCTAAGGTCAATCCAAGACCTTGAGCACCGCCAGTAACAATAAAGACCTTTCCAGCGAGTTCAAAGTCTGAGAAACGCTTGCGACCGACATTTGTTCCTCGTGGTAAAGTGAGTTCATGAGCAGGATTCTCTCTAGGGTCCGGGTTCATTGGTTTTGCGCTATCATTTTCTGTGGTGTGCATTGATCGTTGACAAATTGGCTTAGAGATGAAAGGTGTTTTCCGAAGAGCAGCTATCCGTCCATGAGAGTATGTCTTGCTAGCGATTGAGCAAGTTGCTCGCTTGAGTATTGATGCAGACATGTTGAGAAAGGTGTTGATGTTGTGTAAGATAGAGATCAATTGACAAAGTTATCCAAATTTGACCGGCATCGTGAAATTTTATACTCATTCATCTCAATATTTAAATCTTTCTATCTCAAATCGTGTTACCAACACTGAACATTTCTTTTGCGAGATCTGACGTCTCGGCGACGTAAGCATTACCCGACTCGTCGCACCAAAACCTCCCAGCACACGACGACACGGAGCTTCTGAGCCACGAGAATGCCATCTAGCATATTGGGGCAGGGATCCATAGAATCTCTTGTCTGACCGGAGCTTCATGTCCGCCTGTCGGATCGTTTCATCTCAATTGCTTGTTTGGTCATGTTACCAGCTTATCTCCTTGGCGTGGAAGCAATTGACGTTCGAGATGCATCATCTTCCCAAGGGGGTCCAGTTTTTAGAATAGGTATGAAACAGAGTTCGAAGAGGCGAAAAGTCGTCGTGAGAGGTGTGGCTGTGGCTGGGAGCGGTACCTGAATTATTCCCTGCCATGCCGGATTGATAGGATGTGAAGCTGACATGACAGGCGTGGCTAATGGGCATCTTGGATTGTCCATCCTTTTTGTGATGCAATTCTTGCGCATGGGGGAATCCTTTGATCGGCGAGGGTATCGGAACTCATGCTCCGTGGTATTTAACCCTTTAAAATGGTTCTTATATCTCGAGTTAGATGGTTTTGTGCTCCGGAAGATCTGAACGGGCCATTACGTATGAGGCTTATGGCGACACGGTGATCAACACCATTCTCCTGATTGGCTACCATTACAACCTCTCTCAATCCATTGACTTTGAGAGCTATCACTGACACACTAAAAAGAGTCAGAGATTCCAATCGATTTCTTACGTGACCTTACATGCCAACATGGCTTGTCCCCCCCCGGCGCTTCATTAGTGTTATACTTCCATACCATGGGCCGCCAGGCAGCAGTACTGAGAGCCTCCAACATGCATCAATCCAAAACCATATCTAGCAAAAAAAGAATTCACCAGCAAAACATACAACAGTGAGGATT